CCAAACTTCAATTGACAGGACGAACGGGAGCGATCGTCCGAGCTCACTCCGGGATTGGGTCAGTGGTATGGCCGGGGCATCGCGGCGCGGTGGCGGGCGGGCGGGCGCGGGCCGCGGAGACAGGCCCACTGTACACACCGGCAGGGAAAGCGAGAGAGGGGAACCGGGCCGGCTAGGGCAGCCTTGAGACTACTTTACGGAGCCGCTAAGAAGCGACGCGCCACGCCGCCCCACGCCACGCCGGGTGGACGGCCCGAACAGGACGTTGCGGGCTAGCGGGCCCTTCCCTCCCAGGCCCCGCATGCATTAGGTGGGGGCAACGACTCTGGCGGTGGGCGGAAGGGCAGCAGGGGCACACACACACAGAGACACACACACGCAGACACACAAAACAATACGTACACACGCGTCCGTACTCACAACTCGCCGGCACCTCGCTGTTGAGGCAGGACAAAAGCGAGGTTGATGATGACGAGCTTGTCTCCGAGGAGGCCGCCGCCGTTGTCATCGCCCCGGCGGGTTCGCCGCCTGGCGCCTCGCCGCTGTCCCCGTTGACGACGGGCTGCTCGTCGTCGTGGTCCAGGCCCGCCGGGGAAGGCTCCAGGGGCTCCACACTCGCCGCTGCCATTGTCACTCCAGTGGGGCCACGCAGGTGTCTGACGGCAGCCGGCACCGACTCGTCCGGAGAGGAGGTGAGAGGTTAGCCGGGACCGCGAGCTCAACCCGACCGGGACCGACCACAACCCGACCGGTTTGCGCGCTGCTCGGCCCCTCGTCGTGGCCACTTCGGACGCTTCGGACCCACCGCGCCGCACTCGGCTCTATCCGCGCGCTTCGTTTAAATAAACGTCTCCGGCCTCAGCCCCTGCCGGCACCCGGGTAGGCCACAACGGCACACCGGTGCGCGGTACTCGGTGGGCTGCCTACCCACAAGGCGCTCCGCGCGGGGGAGCAAACCGCTCGTTCACGCAGATACGTATCCTGTTGCAGGTAGCAGGCGACGACATGGCGCTCCGCCTGGTGAAGCATGTCTTCGCCAAGTACCCCATCACCGCGAACGCCGTGACGTTCGGCTCTCTGTACGTGACGGCAGAGTTCTCCCAGCAGGTCGCGACGAAGAAAGTCCTGGTGAGTAAGCATTTGGCGAGCGTCGTTCCCGATAGCTAGTCGACTAAAGGTCCACACACTGATCACCTCTCGTTCCTCGTTGCAGGCACCAACCCCCGAGCCCATTGATACAGCGGCCCTCGGGAGGTACGCCATTTTCGGCTGTGGAGTCGGGTCACACATCCTCTACTTCTGGTAAGAATCATCATAAGAATACTCACCTTCAAGTCGGACGACACCAACGTTCCAGTTTACAATATATTCAGTAACGGATTTTATCCTCGTCCGCACGCAGGTACAAGTGGTTGGACAAGAGGTATGCCGGCACCGCGGCTTCAACGATCGCGAAGAAGGTGCTCCTGGACCAGTTCATCATGACGCCCCAGCTCCTCGTCGCCTTCTACCTCAGTAAGCGCCACCATGCTCCATTGCTCCATCCCCGTCCAGTCCAAGGAACGCCTGGAAACTAAAAACTCTGCCTTCGTGACTTTCAGCCATGGCCATCCTGGAGAGGCGGGAGGACCTCTTCGAGGAGATGCGCAACAAGTATGCCAAGACGTTCCAGACGTCGTGCCTGTTCTGGTTGCCCGTGCAGACCGTGAACTTCGTGCTGGTGCCCCCCGCCGCCAGGGTGGTGTACGTCGGCACCAGCTCCCTCATCTGGGCGAACATCCTCTGCTACATCAAGAGGCAACCGCAGGAGCCGTCGCAGGAACAGCCGCAGGAAAAGTAGAACGTAGGGTTTAACGGCGGAGAGAAAATGTTGTTCTCGAGACATCGTTAATTTGTATTTAATCAAAAAACGTGTGCCATATCCACCATATCCGCACGCATGTGTGGTCTGTATAGTATTGCTGTAAAAAATTAAAGACAGTTATATTTTTTTGCAATTTACTTTCTTCTTTCGTGCCGCTCAAAAAAAATCCTCAAAAAGTGTATGTACTATCATCGACTTCCGCACGCACCTGTCGACCTCCCTCCCCCCTGGCCACGCGAGGACATGTATGGACTTGCTCGCACCATCCACGCGTGTTTATTCAATTGTGGAAGGGGGAGAGGGGGCTGCGCGGCTGGCGCCCTTTAGGGGCCGGAGGGCGGAGGGGG